AATGTGTGTTTAATGTGTGTTTCAAATCAACTAAACTGTAAAAAAAACACTCTGCCGCCAACTAGTGTTTTGGAGGTGTAACTGCAGAGTGACACAGACACACCATATGTTTCACAAGATGCCAGGTGCAGAGCAGAGACCAGGTGTACACTTTCATAGAGCACACTGTCCCACAAATAATCAGAGTAATTATTGATCTGTGTGAGCTATATTATGTGATCACATGTTGCAGAGGTGTTTCAATCATTCTCTGTCGGACTGTCGTGCACAGGAAATAATGAATTAATCCAGTGAGAATGCACCGTGGGTGAGATTCATCATTGACTGTTGACTCGGTCTCAGTTAGTTGAGGTGAGGCTTCAGACTAATGGAACACAGAGATCCTCCTGAATGAGGGTGCCAAAGCAAAATGAATGCGATCGTATTAAAATAACTAATGAAATAGAGCTTTTGTCATCTGTCCTTGCTCATGACCTTTAACCTTCCTGCTCCAGACGGAACCATCAAAGGGTGAAAATGTACTTCCTGAAGGCATTTTTATCTCTCCGATTAACCCTTCAGCCACGTGAGTTTATTCTGAAAATACGTTTTCTCTCTCTGTCCTTCACTTCCTTTCTTTGCACCTTTTTTTTTGCAACATCATTTTATGTTCATAGCAAAATGCTCCCTGACCTTTCCACTACTTACTGTGGGTTGTTTGTAATTTTGTGATTAAAAATCAGAGCTTTCTCCACCATCGCACACATTGCAAGTCACTGTGGATGAATGCGTCAGCTAAATGCCAAAATTGTAAATGCAAATGAGACAGGTACAAGCACGAGAACACGGGCAGCATTTGATTACTGCTAAGAGCAGCTGGCGCCTTTGTGTGTGTGTGAGTGACAGTGTGTGTGTTTTAGGGGGGTGGGGTTGTCAGAGGTGCCTCTCCATTTAATAACATCTGTTTGAGTAAATATAATATTTAAGGGTTTAAATAAGTGTCTTTTAGCATCGCGTGATTCATCTGTCTCCTGTAATACGCTGCTCCGTTTGTTTGACCAGCAGTATAATTCTTATTCTCCATCTTTTAGGCAGAGCTACAATAAATATGCATGAGAGTGCACCAGTGTGTGTGTGTGTGTGTGTGTGTGTGTGTGTGTATGCAGGGCCATGCGGGGCTCAGTTGGACATTAAATAATAGGCCATCATCAATCTCTGTCACACTCTCCAGGGACTAAGGAGGGTGTGTGTGTGTGTGTGTGTGTGTGTGTGAGTGTGTGTGTGAGTGTGCACGTCGGAGGGAGGGGGAAAGAGGGCCTGGTCAAGTGTGTGTGTGTGTGTGTGTGTGTGTGTGTGTGTGTACACTCTGCGAGATGGAGTAAATGTGGATGAGACAAAGGAAGGGTTATAGGCTTTAGAGCTACGCACGAGGGATGTGTTCGTGTGTGTGTGTGTGTGTGTGAGCTGCTGGGATGGTGTAGGGCATCTGTGTGTGTGTGTGTGTGTGTGTGTGTGACTGACATATGGACCATGCACACAGGGTTAGCCACAGCATGTCATTGAGGATATCTTATCAGGGAGGAGAGGCAGCAGTGCGAGTGCTCTCTCTGTTTGCTGATGTTATTATTATGATATGTTTCCTCAGTCAGAGCCACGGTGACATGTTCTTTCTGTCTGGCAAAATCACATGAGTGTCACCTTCCTCGCTGTTGTCCTCTGGCACTAAAAGTTGTCCCCCCCCCCCCCCCCCCCCCCCCCCCCCCACACCCCCCCCCCCCCCCCCCCCCCCCCTCACAAAGACTACTTCTCTGTGGAGGATTCTTTTTAAAGCGCAGCTGCGTGAGCGATGACGAGAGAAATCGTAAAAATCCCGTTGAGCCTGTGACTGTACTGAAGTTTTCCTTTGTGCTCCTGACGGCTGAAATGCTGTTAATCTCGTTTCCAGTGTAAAAGTTGTGGATGGTACCAGTGGATGCATTCTGTGCTGTCCCCATGTTTGGTCCCCCCTCTGTTGGGGTACCTAGCACACAGATCTGGTACTAAAAGGTGGAGCTGTGAACACTGCAATCTGATTGGTCAGTAGAGGACGGTCACTCTGCTCAGGGCTGAGTTGTGTCTGGTTTTGAGGCTCATGTAACCACTGTTCATACTGTGGAGAGTTTTATTAGTAAACTGTAACTATAAAATGAAAGGATGTTTTGCTGCCTCTCACAGCAGCTGGAGTCTGAGAAAAAATAACTTCATTCACTGGGCCGACTGCCGGAAACTATTAAAGTGGAACGTTAACTTATAATGTTACTCAATGCATGAGTTGATGACGTGAATCCATCAGCACACCTTAAATTTCACTGTGACAACTTTGACCATCACTTTAGTTTTTATATGACACACACTTTTAGTAATGACTTTAAAAATATAGATTAATTTGGAGCGGATTATGTGAAGGTCATATATTCTAATCCTCACTTCCTGTGGGCTACAGCAACACTAAACCCCTGAGCTTGCCTGAGAAGGACTAAATGCACAAAGCTGCTATTTTTAAATATCCCATGGAGAGAGACTCTCACTGCAGCCTGTTCTATTTTGTTGTGAAAATGTGGGCGTGCAGCCTCGTTCTGTGGACGATAAACCAGGTGCAGACTTCCATCTGTGTCACCGCTGATGAGGAAATACAGCGAGTGCTGGACAGAGCAGTGAGTGACAACAACCCCGCCCACATTTAAGAGGACTGTCTGAACACACCGAGGGTCTAGGTACCAAGTCTGAAGGATTACTGCTGGTTCAAAAGGTGCTGGACTGAAAGTGTTTGGTAGAAGCGGAGCTATTGTGTGCCTCTTGGATAACAGGTGAAACGTTGCCAAGAAACTCAAGCGAGTCCAGTTGCCTACGATGCAGCACTTACAATTTCCATGACCTGAATAACTGAGAATCTTCACCAACCAGCAACCAATCTGTATCCATCTGTAAAAAATGCCACCTCTGTGTTGCTATGTGCCAGCATGGATCAAAAAGCAAAAGGCATGTGAGGCCTTTATTTCTGAGGCATTTCTGGGTTTGAAAAGTATGAAAACAAGACTTGGTCAAATAGCTGTTGCGGTCCAGCCAGAAAGAAAGACACAGAAAAATCTGAATCGGCACAGCAAAAAATGTTTTTGAATATTTCCGAGTTTTGCATGAATACTGGCTGTGTCTGAAATCCCTCACCACTCACTACATACTCCATTATATGGTGCGGTCACCATTTTGTAGCGCCCTCCAAATGTATTATTATACCCTGTACAGTGGACTCAAAGTATCCCACAATGCACTGTGAAAGGTAGTGTACAACAGTCATTCAACAAGCAATTTTTTTGCCATGGAATAAACTGTTAGTTTCATACATAGTTTTCTATTTCATACTCCTATTCTTGCTTCCCATAATTCGAATATAAATTGTATGTATATAAAATATATGCTATTGTAAAATATTTCTGATTATGATTTTGATTCTGATGAATATATTCTGTCAGTCAGCCATTACACAATTCAACCTTAATTTCTGCTGAATGCCTCTGTGATTTAATGACACTTTGCATAATTATAGTGTGTGCCAAAGAAAGGCAAGCAAGCATATTACAGCATGAATTATGATCTTTTCTCTGAAGATGATTTTATTCAAGATACTAAACCCTCCTGCAGTCTGCACCGTATTTTTTGCTATAAAATTTTTTTTGCTGTAAAAAATACAATAAAATAAAATAAAGTAAAATAAAAATAAAATAAAATACATTTTAATTTAATTTAATTTAATTAAACTAAACTAAGCTAAATAAAATAAAATAAAATAAAATTAAATTAATAATTGATAGATTACTGTATGAATAAAAACAGGGACTTACTCATTAGCTTGAACACTTCTGTCCATTCAGAAGTTGTGATTATGGTTCAAACGTGGGCATAAACTGAAAGTCACATTCACAAAACATTAACAACGTGCAACAAATAATATATTCTCATATATAGTCGTTACTCAGTGGAACATACAGCATGCAGCTGTCAGTATGAACCGGTTCACTCTTGATTTGTGCGGCATGCCTGTGCCATTTAATGGTACTTTACATAGTGTGTGCCAAAAAAGGCAAGCGGGCATATCATATCATGAATTATGTCCTTTCCTCCAAAGACGATTCCTGCTGCACTCTGCACTTTATATTTACACATTTTTGAGATGCCCTGCTCAAACACAGTAAATAAAAGAACGTGCTCTTCATTCATTTTATAAAACTGGCCTCCTTGACCTGCGTTTGCAAACATCAACACAGAGCTGGCATCTCTTACAGATGAATAAGGACTGATTGCTGACTGAAGTGTTGTGCAAAGAGGTGTCACGTAGCTGCACTGAAGATTTATTACTGAGGTACAGTAATTTCTATCAGCTCTGAATAGCTTTGTTCTTTTTGTTTAATGCCGTTAATTCAATATTTATGAGATCTGTGCTGACTGTTGTGATAAATGAAAACCTATGACACATCTGCAAGAGGGGACTTCTGCTGTGAGGAGGAGGTGATGATGAAGCTCAAGAGTCTTTTATTGTGTCTTAGCGATGGAGATAAACTGTGTAGTTGTGATCAGACACTTTCAGTTCAGGCCTGTGTGTATTTTTAAGATATGAAACCTAAATGTGTCCAAGCAAATGGGAGAAACTGTAAAATATAATTATATGTAATGATATGTAGTTTAAGGAGCTGTTAGTTCTGCTGATAAACTAAAAGGTGTCGTGTGCTGATAAATACCTGTGATATGAATGTGAGTTAATCAATGTGTAGTTATTAATTATAGTGAACAGCAACAGTGTTTGTTTACAGCAGTGCAAGAGTTGCTCCAGTGGGGCGGGGTGTGGCAGCTCTCTCCGCCAATCAGCATCGAGCTTCTCCCGAGAAAGCGCTGGAGAGGCGGGACTTGCGGCGCCATGAGCCAATCAGCGCCTACCTTCCTCAGCGCTGGGAGAAGTTAGCACTCGACTGCCAGTCTGGTCCGTAGCCACGATGGATGCAATACCATGCCTTCTGTTCGTCCTCCTGTTCGGGACAAGGGTACAAGAAAATAACGGTAAGTGTCCTCAAGCGGGAAACACTGAGTTGGGGTTGATATTTGTCGCGTGTTTCTCGGAAGTTACTCTCGCGGGTCCGAGCGGTGCCGCCAGAAACGCTCTTTGTTCAAGAAGCCTGAAGAAGCAGAGTGTGTCTAACTAAGATGGCGCAGGGTCGGCGGCCAGCCTGCTGCTGCCTGTCTGAGGAATGTTTATTGTCTGGGGGGGAAAAGGAGCACGGAGCTAAAAGTCACATCGGGCTCCAAAGGGCCGACGGCTGTAGCTCGGGAGCAAAGCTGGCCTCTGCTCGGCTACATTTCGGGCACAGCTTTGCGTTTGTGCTCTGCCAACAAAAGAGTCCCGAGGAGCGGTGCTCAGTTTGGCAAAAACAAAGTTGGCAGCATCACTAAGTCGATGTTTGCTTTTTGTCAAACACTGGTTGTTCATTTACTTTGCGGTCGGAGCGTGTCCCCGGGCAGCTCTCCTGGAGTTAAACTGTAGAAGTTAATGTTACCTGAATGCCTCTGTGTAGTTCACGGGTTACTGTTATCTCAACATCACGGTTGTAACTTAGTCATTATTCTCCTAACATCCCACGGCAGTGACGTGTAGCTCAGCGGGGTTTGTGTACAAGCTGTGGAGGAAAGTAGCCAGGTGAAGCCGTCACTGTTTCCTCCAGCTAGTATTTATGCTCGACTCTAAATGTCCCATCTGCATCCTCGTTAATGAGCAGTTGGAGATGTTAACTGGTGGTTTAACTTGCTATTTAATGCTCTGACACTGCAGCATCACGTTAGTCTGCTAGCTTTAAATCTGCTGCGAGCTGCAACAGAGTTTGGATATTTTTAGTCAAGGTTTGCAGCCGGGGGAATTATTACAGTGTCTCTCCTCAGCACAAACTCAAAATGTGGCAGATTTTAATGCAGCTTCGCCCCATTGAAGTCCTTAAACGCACCATCTAAACTGCACATCATTTACAAAACTCGACTTTGAGCATAGCTTTGCAGAGACAGTGACACAGTGTGTTTGCAGCTGAAATGATTAAAGCACTGTACATAGTCAGGAGTCTCCTAAAGATGGTGAGTCTTGTGTAATGGGGTGTTTATGGTCACAGATAAGCTGTATTGAATTGGATTCATCATTCACAGCCTCTGATTAGCGCTGCAACCATCCATGCTCAGTGCACTGAGGTTTTTATTTCTTATTCCTGCAACGGGAGCTGCGTCTCTTTGTTCCAGTGGTCAGCACATTGCAAACTGAGAAGCCTCTGTTTTATCATCGATAGCCGATAGTGTTTTCTTCCTATTGACTCACTGACTCACGCGTTTCCTTTGTGTGACATTCCTTTGTGTGTGTGTGGAGAGAGAGAGAGAGAGAGGGAGATGATGAGTGGAGGAGCATGCTTTTCAAACGGCATACATAAAGATCTCATCACAGCCTCCCCATGCCAAAATCAGGGTCGTGTCCTCATATACCCCGTCGCTGCCTCGGATGCAGGCTTGTTATTAAATTGATATGTTGGCTCAAGGACACACAGGAAGGGAGGGAATTCTGTCGTCTTTGTCCAGCAATGGGATTGTCATGGCGTGGGTCCATGGTCGGAGCTGCATCATTTACATCAGAAAAGAATCCAATATTTTACATGCAGTGGTGTGTTTATGTGTATAAACACAGAATCAGTGCAGCACATTTCAGATGAGTGAAATAAATAACCTAGGCTGCGTATCATATTTATAAACATCCACAGATGATTTAATCAAAGAGCACCAGGTGTTATTGACTCTCTAACGTGTCACGTTGCTGTTCGGCGTTCAGCACCACACCCCTGCAGCTCACACACACTTGCTTCAGCAGCAGCATTCACATACACAAAAGCACCCGCACACATCCGAGTGCTGGCAGCGGGCTAAATTGGGTGGTGTCACTATTACTCTCCTCATCCTACCAGCCTCAGTCATCCTCCCGCCTAATAGGCTCTGTCCTCGTGCTCTGTCACTAGTCGTCCCCCCTCGCTCCCTCAGCCCTCCCACCCTCCAGTTTCATTTGTCTGCTCCGAGTCTTGTGCTTCTCCCCTGCCCCCTCCAGGCGTAGTAAGTAAACGGGCCGCATTTAGCTGGAGTGGCTGGTCTAAAAGATGAGTGTTGTGTCAGCACTCTCAGACTAATGCAAGCCACGGTCGAGGGAAGGGCTGTAATGGTCTGTGTGTTTGTGCCCGACCATCGGGGTTCACGGTTTGGTGCACGTAGCCATACACACAGAATGCATGGTACGCAGATTGATGTGTATAATGCTGAGCTAAGTTCACAAGTACAAGCTCCACCTAGAAACTTTTATGCCGTTAGCAACATGTGCTGAGGTTAGCACAACAAGCTCATTGGCGCGCAAGTCAGCCAAGCTACGGCAAGCCCAAATTTAATAGCAAAAGTAGAAGACCTGCCTGCGGGTTTGAGGCCATGAATTTGCATTTCCTATGATTGCAAAGACACGACACACCCTACTCTGCTATACTCTGCTTCTGATTGGCTCACCCTGACAGTGTTACCCAACCTTAACTAATCTCACTCCCCATGTCCAAAGACCCAGACACACCAAACTGACTCCAGAGACTTAAACGCCTCAAAAAATTGCACATGAACACACGGCTAAGACTGAAGCTGACCAACCAGCACGTTTCTGTGCCTGCGTTAGAGGCAATAACTTTCCACGCCAGCCGACGGCGGTAGTCTGTATTCTTCATTCAAACAAGGGAAACAGGAAGACCGTCTTGATGCTAGTTAGCCAGTTAGCACATGAACCACGCAATACAGTGTTGATAGATTCATGTTTACTGTGTGCCAGCGAACAACACAAACCATCATGAAATGTTCAATGGAGGCTAAAGAGAAGTAATCTGACCTTATGTAACAAGTTTGTTTCGACCTCACTCCCTCTGGATATTAGCGCTTCGTTTACTTTCCTCACTTCAGTGTCTTTTCTCGAAAAAAGACGGCAGTGGTGTGGGTTTTGGATGCTCAGTGAAGGCCCAACGTTCACCGATGGCTGACCAACATCTTGGGCCTTTAACCTGACCAATCAGAGGGAGAGTAGGGCGGCTCGTCCCTTTGCAATCCTAGGAAACATAAATTTCCTTCCCGGTCACCTACAACAGCAACGTAAAGAGAGTTGTGTAGAACAGGAGGACGGTGTGTCAGTGTTGCTCCACCGTTGAAGGTCTGCCAACGGAAACACATCCAACATGTTAACGCACATTCGACTGCATCACTCAGACGTGACAGTCAACACTCCTCCTAATGCACAAGCTTTAATTTTTTTCATCATTTTGTGTTTTTAATTTAGTAGAATAAGAGATGCTTTTCAGTTTTAAAGCCTATTGTGACCTGTTACCTTGAAAGTGTGTGTTCAGTGTTCTATAGAAGTGTTGCTTATTTTTCTAATTAAAATAGTTGACCTCAGTTGCCAGTGGGCAAAATGTCGCCTCAGTCCCCCGACAGAGGATTTTGTCTGTCTGCTCTGACACTGGCACTGCTGTCTGTTCATAATAGATTTAAATAAACGTATCCTCATGCATTTGGGTTTTTCTTCCCGCTGAACTGAACTTGCACTGATCCGTGACTTCAGTGTGCCGTTAAAGCCGTCCCAGTCTGTCCTGACTGTCCCAGACAACAGAGGATGTGACGGATCGCTTTGGGATGTCGTGTTTTTTGGCTCCTCTTGCTCTGGTGTTGCTACTGGTCATGAAATTGCCTGGTAACTTTTATTTTAGGGACATATATCCAACAGTGTGTCCCACTTAGGATGCTGCAAAGTGTACACTCTAACAAAGATGGTGCAATGTTTTGGCAGTTTGAATGCAAGAAAGGAACAGGAAGTGACACGTGCAGAAACTGCAACGAAGTGCGTCACAGTCATGGGAAACACTTTTCTCATTTCTAGTGTCACTTTTCCTCAAAAAGTTAGTCCAGTGTTTTTCAAGAGATGCATCACTTAATTTAATCTCCTCTTTTTTTTTTATTGTGTGTTAACATGTGCTGTAGTAACCCAACAACGATCAGGTTATTGGTGAATCACTGTCAGGTGTTGTGGTTGTAAACATGTCCCAGAAAGCCAGATGGGCCCTTATTCCAGTTTTGGGATACGCCACCTGAAGTATTAAACTTAAAACTGAAGGGATTAGGCAATTAATCGATTAGTTAGTTGACGTACATTTACCTGGCAGCTCATTTGTTAATTAAATCTCCAGTTTCCGGCAGCATTTTTTACACTTAATAGTAAACTGAATGTTAAGGATGCACCTAGCCTTGCGTCACCAGGCTCTTCACGTACGACGAGGAGCCTGGTTTTCATTCACTCTGAATTTTGTCTGGATTCTGGTCCCGGTCTAGAGAGCGGATCCGGAATTCACCAAATTCACCAAAGTAAAAGTGTTCACCAAAGTAAAACTTTAAATTCTGGCGCACCATCGATTTACAATAAAAGAAAAAGGTTAACTTAATGGCTTGGGGCTTTTCTTGTAAATTATATTCTTTAAATTAAAACGTTTCACTGCATTTTTATTAGGTTGGTACTTTTATTTTGACGGAAAGGTGCATCCATCGAATTCCGGATCCTGTCTCTCTCGCCCTGGTTCCGGTTCCTTACCAAAACGGCCACTAAACGGCCCCAGACTAGGATGCACCATATGACTTTTTTGCAGACTATGCCAATATGTAACAACTCATGACGGATAACTGATACCGATATCCACATATCCACTTCTTTCCCACCTAATTTTGAAGTTTCTTTTGTAGTCTCAGGTACGATCATATTCGGGTGATGGTTTACATGAGCACAGAGAAATCAGGTTATTCATATTTCCCGTACACATCCCAGTTTCTTTCAGAGTATTCCAGCATTGTATTCAGGTTTCTCATAACCGAAATGTGGTGTTTACATGCCCAAAAGCCTGACCATAAACTCATAACAACATGTCCATGTGACCTCACTTACAGTGATTGAGTTTTGTGATTGATTATTTGAGAAA